TTTAACTTTAGGTGATGGAATTAACATTCTGCCACTTTGTCTCCCTCTCTCCCCATTGTTTTTTCTCTTTACTTTTTTCTCTCTTGTTCCTAGTGGGTGAAGGATTTCCCCCCTCTATCTCTCTCCCCTTTTGCCTTGAGCCGTTGCTTTTGTCATAGGAAAGGAATATATGCCAGTGCTTCGTTAACTCTTTTAGGCCCTCCCTTGATTCAATCAAGTCCCCACCTCATTGTGGCCCCACCCTGTCTGGGCCAGCCCCAAAAAAATATATTGCGTAAATCAAATAGAATGCTGACAGGGGCTCTGCTTTGATGGGTTGGTGTAGTTAAGTGGAGAGTAGACCCCACCACCTCCGCCCATTTACACACATCTCTCTCTATCTCTCTCCACCTTTGCTTGTTTATCACACTTATTTTAGTCTACCATATTTCACCACCACACCCATTTGCATGCTCTGTTCTTTTCACCATAAAGCTTTAACCCACATATAGATAAAGAAGACATTGCTGTATCTTTGGTGGTTAGGGGTGTTGTTGAAGCAAAACTAGTCTTTTGGGGGTGGGGTCTCACCCCTAGATAGACAATAGGGTCTATAGGAAAGGTCCAATAGCAATGGTTGCTTCTTGTTCCATTAATGATATAGTATAACCACCTGAAGTAAACCCTCGATCTAGCATGGAGATCAGAAATTATTAGCCAAGGTCAAAGGGATCAAAGTGTTGAATTTTTATCCTTTAGACAAGCTAGACTTTACAATTTTGCACCTCATCTCATGTTCTTTTCTCACCAGATCCATTACTCTCATCCTCTTATTAATACTAACAAGGCACTATGAATAGTTTCACACACAAAATTAATAAAAAATATTAGGTATATGTATCTTGAATTAAATATCATCTCAAGTTTACAAAAATATTTTTTTTTTTATAGAATTACGAAAACTTTGAATGTTTTCACGGTTTGTTGTTCTAACTATAAAAAAATAATAATTAAATTTCTATTTTTAAAAAATATATAGAAATTTATTTTTTATCTTTAAAAAATGACAGGATTAAATTTTTTGACAAAAAAAAAAGAAAATACTAATGTAGTGATATTGTTATCTTTGTATATGAGATGAATAATGTTAGATTGATGAAATTTTTGAATATTTTTTAAATATTTTATTAGAAATTATAATGATATATATATTTTTTAAGATTAATATATTCAATCAAAAAGTTTCATAGAAACTAATATAATATATAAAGAATATATAATTAAAAAAGATATTAAAGGTAATTTAGAGATTTAAATACATAACGGTAATATAGATATTTAATTATGATAAGATAGTGTGACCTTTATAAATCTTTATAAGAATAAANAAAGAATATATAATTAAAAAAGATATTAAAGGTAATTTAGAGATTTAAATACATAACGGTAATGTAGATATTTAATTATGATAAGATAGTGTGACCTTTATAAATCTTTATAAGAATAAAATAGTGAATTAAACGTTTTTCATATTAAAATACTTTTATTAGTATTATAAATTATAGACTACACTAGTAAATAAGGATGTTTAGACCTAATCATCTAATTTAATATTTTAGTGTAATCTATTATCACCATTAGATTAGCCATAACTCTTAATATTAAATTTGATCAACTACTAATTCAACTATAATAAAGCATTAGATAAGCAAGGTCTACCTAGCAATATTGTGTAATCGCTCTCTATAGGTGTGTAAGAGCCAAATTTAATAGTACCTGTTTACAATTTCTCGTACTTTTAATAGTGTGAAATTTCTTTTTTTTTTCTTTTTTTTTTGGGTACACATAAGAAAATTTACATGTAATTGTCTTGCTTACTATCGAATCATGACACGTGACATAATATAATTAAAATAACTATTTTNTATTTACAATTTTTCGTACTTTTAATAGTGTGAAATTTCTTTCTTTTTCTTTTTTTTTGGGTACACATAAGAAAATTTACATGTAATTGTCTTGCTTACTATCGAATCATGACACGTGACATAATATAATTAAAATAACTATTTTACCCCTGGACAAAGGAGGCTTTGCCTAGTGGTGGTGTTGTAGTTGAGATGCAATTTGGGTGGATAAACTAAAATTCAATCATAGATTTTCAATACATAGTGGTTGGGCGACAATACAAATTCTCAACCAGAATTTAGTTTTTTGAGTGATCAGTTTGGATATATATAATTACATGTATAATGATCGTTTCAGAATTTATAAAGCGATCTATATCTACTTAAAAAAAATATTGTATTTAAAATTGGGTTCATGCGAACCCTAACACACCCAANGCATAATGATCGTTCAAGAACTTACAAAGCGATCTATATATACTTAAAAAAAAATATTGTATTTAAAATTGGGTTCATGCGAACCCTAACACACCCAATATAACACCACTTCGGTGATCAATTACTTAGACCCACCAATACAACTAATCATTTCCGNGTATAATGATCGTTTCAGAATTTATAAAGCGATCTATATCTACTTAAAAAAAATATTGTATTTAAAATTGGGTTCATGCGAACCCTAACACACCCAATATAACACCACTTCGGTGATCAATTACTTAGACCCACCAATACAACTAATCATTTCCGTTATCTCTTCTCTATTTCGCCGTAAGAATTTTTTTTTTATCAATCAATAGTAGTGTCAAGACCTGACAATTTAATTTGAAATCCTTATCTAACGTCTTAGTAAAAAAGTCANTCTTTCGCCGTAGGAATTTTTTTTTTATCAATCAATAGTAGTATCAAGACCTGACAATTTAATTTGAAATCCTTATCTAACGTCTTAGTAAAAAAGTCAAACAAGGATCGGTCTCGAGACAATGTACTGATGCACAGGGTGGGTCATATAGGACAGACATGTTGGTTCGAGTGGCCATAAGTGAGGAGGACTAACCATATCCGAGTTGAGCATTCTCAAGGCTCAATCATGGGATCATCCGTGATGTTGTTGTTCCTTATATTTATAGAAAGGAGGAAATGGTTCAGAAGTTGCATGCATTGAATTTGTGGCCATTTACAACAGACTCGGTCGGGACCATTACATTAACTTCTCTTACAAGGATGTACACTGGTGGCCTTTTCACTTTCAAGAGGCTGTTCCACCCATATATGGTTAAGTTGGTCGGCTAGGTCATCCCTGATATACAACCAACTCTGTGATGTGAGACAGATAATACCAGCCGTGCTGGGTTCATATCATTGTAAGTGTGTCAAAATTTTGTTTAACGTGTAGTGTATTTGATCTTCTATTTATATCATATTTGTTAAGTTCATGTCGTGTCATGTGTAAGCTGTATATAATGTGTAATTAGTCGAGTTCGTGTCCATTCATTAATCTAATGAATTTGCCTGTTTACTACCTAAACCTACTAAGACTAAATTTAAACTCAGCTAATTCTGCATGGGTTTTATATCAAGTTCACAAGCTATGCCTAGAATATTCCAGCTCAAGTTTGTTTATCATTTTTTTTTCGAAGGTTTGTTTAGTAGTTAATTAAGAAAAATACCCCCCCCCCCCCNCGTGGGTTTTATATCAAGTTCACAAGCTATGCCTAGAATATTCCAGCTCAAGTTTGTTTATCATTTTTTTTTTCGAAGGTTTGTTTAGTAGTTAATTAAGAAAAATACCCCCCCCCCCCCTCTCCCTCTTCTGAGCAGCCATTTTTTGTTGTTGGTCGTAGGTGGGGTGGTGTTTTTTTTTTTTGGGGGGGGGGGAGAGAGAGAGAGAGAGAGGCTTACAGAGTCCACATTGTTAACTGCATGGTTTGAGCTTCATCTTTCTTTGCTTGGCCAAGTAGTTGACTCACTAGTTGAGGAGCAGCATTTGAATATGGGTTGTTCAGGTTGTCACAAGTGACAGCAGTGATAATTTTTGACACGATAAAACATATCACAAATTCTACATGACATGAATTTGAAAATGACCTGACCAGTTAACAAGACTGTGAAATAACTGAACAATAATGCAATCATAACAGGCCAAGTTTAAAAGTGGCTACTGCAAGATTTCCAACTTCTGTTTCCTTAGCCACAATTTCTCAGCAATCAAACGGAAAATGCAGAGAGGTTCATCCAGAGATTGTGGTTTCTTTAAATGTTTTGGTTCCATTCGCTTGTGGAATCATGGAAAGCCATAGGAAGGGGAAAGAAGAATAATCTAAAACATAAATAAAGATGTTTCTCAGGTTCAAGATCATCAGTCGAAAATTACTTTGCAAGGCATTTGTTTCATACATAATCGTTCTCACTGATAGAATCAGTTTTACTCTTCCCACAATCATTGTTTTCAAAAAATGATTTTGATTTTTGACAGTAAATTTTCCTGTTCTACACTAACTGCTAGCATGTTTCTTAACTGTAGACAAAGGCAAAGACAAAATGCAAAGGAAAGTCAACTAACCCGAAGGGAAAGAAAATTCTGATCTACCTATCAAGAACATGACACTGTAAAATGTTACGCTTACCTGAGAAATTGGAATAAGACGTGAAATAAAAGCAACTCCAGCATCACATGGTGAAGATAACAGAGAAAAGGGGTAAAAAAGGTATAATCCTTGACTACTGGCGCTCAGAGCTACTGTTGAATTGCAAAAATATATTTCTGCAGTTGCTCAATTCATCTGCAGTAACTGATATTACAGACAACAAAGAGGATATGGTACTACGGAAGGGACAAAGGCACTCATATGATACGATAAGAAAAGAATACAAAGCAAACTGAAAAAATACACAAAACCATAATATGCATTCGTGGGGATTCAAATCTTCCCCACCACCATGAATCCTGACTTGTTTGAATGTCTTTCCCACTTCTTATTCATGCTGGCTGTTGTCAGTCTTGCAACTAGTTTCCTCAACCTCAGCTGGTGATTTGTTTGGCAGAGCAGGAGCTGTGACTGTTGGAATGTCTTTGCCCTGGTACGTGTTCTTAAAGATTCAGATGCTCCCCCCCCATCAGATTTTGAGTTGTTCCAATGTTTTTACCGCCTCTGATTCATACCGACCATTTTCAGACTTCCTACTAATTTCCTCAACCTCAGCTGGCGATGTGTTTGGCAAAGCAGGAGCTAAGACAGTTGGAAGCTCGTCCTTTTGAATTGGTGGAGGAGCAAAAACTGGCACAGCCTGCCTAATACAGACAGGTGGGGCAATTCGTGCACGTTGAACTTGCATAACTTGAGGGGAACGAATAGAAGGCGGTGGTGCGGAGAAAACTGGCACTGCAGTTCGAATTGTAACTGGTGGTGCAATCCCATGGCAAGGTGTCCTAAAATGCTGGACTGGAACATAAGGAGCTGCCCCTGCTGCAGGGAACCTGTGGGGGCGAATTGCATGGCCTTCTGGAACTTGAGGTTGTAATGGTGGCAGAGGCTGTGACAATCGAACAGGGCTTTCATTTGCTGTTGAAGATGTGGGCCTGTTTCGTGGAACAGTCGTAGGGCAGATTAAGGGGAGGATTTTGGATGTGGAAACACGGGGAGGCTGTGGACTAATCGGTCTTGGGTGTGGAATTGGAAGTTTTTGTGGAAATGGTATGGGGGCATCAGTGGAGTTACCCATTCTCATCTTTATTTTCAAACGATAGTTCAGCAAAGAGCGTGCTATTCTGATCTGTTCCTGCTCGTCATTGGCCTCTGGTTCAGATGATGAACTTGCTTCTTTTTGTGCCACTGCCCAGAAGGAAAACACAGTTTATGTCAAAGTAGATGTCAGGTATTAAATAAAGAATAACTGAATTGAAATGAATACATGCATCTAATGTAGAAAGAAAATAGCTGAAATTGAATCAATTGACCGGTAACATGTTCACTTTGATGCAAGGAATGTTGATTTCGTGCAAACAAGTCAGTTCTGTGGTTCAGTCCAACTTTTTGAGCCGTGTGTCCTAAGAAAACTAGAACAGCGATGAAAGGAGATAAAGTTCTCATATATGCCAGAACAGAAGAACCTTAAATATGTTATTTTAATTTTGCATTACAGCCCAACACCAACATAAAACTATACCATGCATCAGAACAGGTACCAGAAACTGTTTGAGGTGCAATCTTACTTCTCTTCCCTTCTGAGATTAGCAGGAGCCTGATTCCCCATACTAAGTAACTGAAGAAATATTGATGCTTGGGATCAGCCAAGCCACAAAATTTTCACTACACAGGCCGCCTGGTGGGCACAGATAGAAATATGTGTATTAATATACCACTTTTCTTCTCAAACATTAGTTCAATGAATGCAACTACAATATTCTACACCTTTGTAAGCACTCCACACCCTACAAACTGAAAATACTCAGCTAGAGACACTTGAGAGAGTGACTCACGTTGTTTCAGAGATGACCAAGCTGCCAGGGCTGCGTTCTTCTCAGCTTGCTTTTTATTCTTGGCAGGCTCCCCGGTGAAAGTGATTCCAGCCAGTTCTACTATTCCAGTGAAGACAGGCAAGTGTCTTAGGCCCGATCTGAAAGTCACATACTGAGGCAATGGGGATCCAACTCTTTGTGAAATCTCCTGTAAGAGGTTTTTGTAAACCCCGGTCTCGTCCTAATATAGTGGAGCTCAGTCAACATCAAACGTAAATTCTAGTGATAGTTATGAGATAACTATAACAAAGAAAGTGAATGTAGGATAATGCAATTACTTCTTGAAGGCTAAATAAAGGCTTTACTTTTTCGTTGGACACTGTTTAGTTATAGATTGCCGTGGATTTGACATTATTAATTGAGTATAATGTGGAATTTGAAAGTCATCAAAAAGATCAATGGATTCTACAACCTGTCCCAGGTGAACAAAGACATGCTAAAGGCTGTCCCAATGCAGCAAGAAGCATTTATTCTGCTAAAACTGTATAGAAAAACGACCCTGAACCATATGATCCACCAGCTACATAAATCGAAAGCTAAAAGAGTTAAAGGCTTTCCGCCAAAAAAAANCATATGATCCACCAGCTACATAAATCGAAAGCTAAAAGAGTTAAAGGCTTTCCGCCAAAAAAAACATAACTAAATCATGAATGAAGCGCATGCTAAAATGAGAATGAAGGATTAAACTAAGCAGATGTGTGAATAATAAATCAGTGCAGCAGCAAGATGTAATTAATTACGTACCCAATAGAATTCTATTCAAATCAAGAGTTTATTCCAAAAAGAGGCAAGTATATATGAGCAACAACACAAGAACACATTACACACACAGTGCAAATCAAAAGACAAAAATTCGGTGCTGCTATGAAACAAGATCATATTACACAGTCCAAATCAACAGGCATAACATAAGTACGGTGCTTTAGGTCATGTCAATGGATGGCATCAGTCGGTGAATTACTCAAACAAGTGGACAGTCACATGGATGTTGCAGCTAGATGAGCAGACATATTAAATGGAGGGGGACAAGACTATAAATTTGTAAGGTTGCTCACATATACTTCTCTTACATGTGCTATGCTGAAAATTGCTCATTTCAACATTAATGCCACATTTTGAGGGCAATATTTCTAAAGGCAAAACGTGATTATTATAATCCCTCTTTTTTTTAGGGATTTTATTTTATTGCACCTTCTCTTTTTCGTCTAGTAACAAATTTAGTTCGAATCTTGACAACTCCTTATACTATATCATGAGAGATTTATCTCTCGTGAATATCTTAATTCCAATTTAAATGACCTATTTTTGATCAAACGGGAGAGGGATTAGCATGACCGTTGAATCAAAAATAAAAATAAAAAATAGATACATTAATTTGATACAAAGGATTCCAATGAATAAACTCAAATTTAAAGGAAATTAAAATATATCCATTGAATTTTTAAAGGAGAATGAAATTTAATCACCGATGATTTGAGTAAAAAATTGAGTATACCTTAATTTGATATGAGTTTGAGTATATAATTGAAAAGGCTTTTTGAATTATTTTAACTCAAATTTAAATTTGAATTTGAAAAAAAAAAATAAGAGCTGAAAATATTCGTAGTTACTCACCAATGTCCATCATTTCCATGTAGTCAGTACTTATTATGACGTTTTATATACAATAAAGAAACACAAAAGTCTGCAATTTCCATGGTGGGTCTTTATCATATTAGTTCAATCAACACTAATTGTATTCCAATTTCGTAACGTACATTAATGCAAAGCCCACACTAAAATTGACAGAACTTTGTTTCACTGCGTTCAGATATCACTTTGAATTTGATTAAAAAAGCAAAGAAAAAGATAGTAGTGTTTTGAAGGGTCTCACCCACCCACCCACAATTCTGTAACTGACACTCTGGAATTTTCTTTGAATGGAACAGGGGAGGTAGCTTCTTGATTCAGACTACCGTGGAGAAGCCAAAGACCACGCAACCTCGTCTAGGCATTAAAAACCACCAAAGTTTTCATGACTAAACACCCTTCATTTATGGAATTAGTTACATTATTTAAAAGCCAGAAGACCACCCAAAACACCTCCTATTGGAGAAAATATTGATTGCAACAGCGATATCACGTCAATGTTATATCACCAATTAATAATGTATAAATAATTAAGAAAATGGACCATACACAAATTAATAATTATCGGTCCATATAAGTCGATAATTACCCACTATCCATATAATAAAGTAGCTTACAATTCAAATTTTAAAAGGTAAACAAATATTAACACCCTAAACTTAAATTTTAGGCTTTAAAGTTAATCTAACGGTTAATATTAACACTCTAAATTTAATAGAAAAAATAGGTATTAAGGGTGTGTTTGGAGTGACTTTTTAAAAGTACTTTTAAAAATTATTTCTCATAAATACTTTTAAAAAAAATAGTGTTTGAAACTGCCCCACTACCACCACTACCATGGCCGCCACCGCCACTGTCGCCCTCACCACCACTGCTACCACGATCATTGTCACCCATCACAACCAGCACCGTCTCTTACCATTATCACTGCCGCCCACCATCTCTCACCCCCACTATAAACTAATGCTTAAATTTCTTTATCTTTTCTTTATGTTTGTGATTTAATTTTAGATATGAATACAAATATGTTTATTGTTTACTATTTTTTATTATTTTGTACCTTCAGGCACAGACAATAACGAATTCTTCAATATAAGTTAATAACTATTCAAGTGAGATTCAATTTATCCGATTGAAGTTTTATTATTAGGTGGTGATATTTTGTTAGCATTATTGACATGATAATAGTGATACGATATCACCGTTATATTATTGTTCCATTGAATGTTTTTTTTTCTGTTATATAAAGGCATACCAACTTAACGTGGGCCCTCTCCTAAATTACCCAGTTTTCCATAAATTAAATTTTACTTACCCCAAAAAAAAACCCTCCTAAATTAAAATTTACCCAAAAAAAAAACTCCTAAAGATGCCGCAATTCGTCGGTTGGTCAGAAAAGCCCACTTCTTTACAATCAGAACCCGAAAAGGGCGAAGGGCATTTTGGTCATTTCAAAGTAAAACCGAGACCCAATGTATCTGTCCATCTCCAAACCGGCAATCAACTCCGGTCAAGAGACTCATTAATCCACCGGCGGCTGGTATACATATGCGCACGATGACACTCTACCCTTTTAGCACTTCGTCACTCAAGTGGCAACCACTCACCGGCAAAGAAAAAACAAACTCAAGAACGCAAGTAACACAAGGTGCACATTAGCAAAAGATTGTAAGAGGAGCTNATGACACTCTACCCTTTTAGCACTTCGTCACTCAAGTGGCAACCACTCACCGGCAAAAAAAAAACAAATTCAAGAACGCAAGTAACACAAGGTGCACATTAGCAAAAGATTGCGCCTTTATAGCTAAACTGTGCGCGGGTCTGTTATTCACCAGGAAAACCGGAGAGTAAGAGGAGCCCAATTAACACACAGGCGCACATTAGCAGAGTTAGGAGCTGTTTAGCTGAATTTGCCAATCAAGTTCTAGACTGATCACTAAGAATGGAGATCGAAGGCCGTGAGACTTAACGGAGACAAACAAAGAGCATAACGGAACCCTAAAAGAGCGGCCAGAGAAGAGAAACAAAAAAAGAATAGTTACTTACGAGAATTCTAGCGGCGAGCGAGTGGGAAGGTCCGCGGCCGGAGAGGGAGTTGAGAGCCACCTCGGCCGCCGAGTGCTCAGCTTGCCGGAGAGTAGAGCAGTAGTGGGGACTCTCGAAGGTCTCTCCGTTGAAGTTGACAATGGCTTTGAACCTCGGCGCGTGGTCCGGACCTTCCCTTATGCACGTGTACGAGGGCAGGTTGAAGCAGCTCCTCTGCGCTAGCTCTTGTAACTGGTTCTTGTACATCTCTCCTTATCTCTCTGTATATATGTGTGCGAGTGATATCTACGTATCCATGAAAAAGTTCGGACTTTTTTCACGGCGATGAATCCGCCGGGAAGGAATTCGGGGAGGGTTGAAATAGGAAAAAGTTGGGTTTTATGCGAGAGATCAATGGCTTTAAGATTACGGTGATTGGAGGTTGGGGACTGGACG